GCATAAAACGTCCGTTAACTGTAGAGTCTGATGGCTAACCTTGTAACTCGTTTGATGTAATTATTATAATGAAGACAGTGTCTGACTATACACGTGCTCAATATAAACACGTGTGTCGACATGACAGCGCGTGAGATTCACTATCCACTTTAGCAAATTATGCATAACTAAATGAAGTAGCTCTGTGTTTTGTCAGATACAGAGTCAATGTCACAATGTGTCGAGAGCAGAACACTGTGGATCGAGGTCACTTTTATACGAGGTCAGCACAGCGAATCTTGATCAAACGATGTAATTAGGTCAAGTTGCAGTATTTCGAAATTACTCTCAAAGTGTGTAATAAGGTCAAATAAACCGTGTGTAAGTATTACACTTTTTATGTGGTGTCAAACTTGTACATAATTTATTGTAAATAAAGTAATGTGTAATACAAGGTAACATATAGTACTCTGTTGATGATGGGTACAATAAGGTCAAACAAGTCTCAGCTTATGTGTCAGTCGTTTCTTAGGTATCTTATTTTCGCCTTCCGGTGATCATAACACACTCCTAAATCAGCAAATCGTAATGCCATTTGATTGTTTTGGACCAAGTATTTTCATTTTTTATTTTGTTGTCGGTGAAATGGAAGGTTTGAGGAAACCCGTATGTTACCAATGGTTGTATATCTGCCCGCACCATGTTATAACCAAACCAGTGGAAAAGACAATGTGAAGACAGGTAATTTGAGTATGTCAAGGCTTTGTATCAATAATGTATGTTTTCTTGAGAAATCAATGCTATCTTGAATCCCCATGATATACCAAGGCTATAATTGGACACCAAGACACAGACCTAACACACAAGCGTAAATAAGGTTGCCGAATTCTGATGAAACGGTAAATACAGGCAAGCTAGGGACACTGCTGTACCAGTAGACAACGGAAATCAAAAGAGGATCATTCTCAGCTTATGGTTATACTAACGATTCACAATCAGAATAACAGTTTGTGTATAGAGGATCTGAAATATGTTTCTATTTAATAAGAGATTTATGTAAAACGTCTTGAAAATGATTTTAATTGGGCTTTGTTAGCTTAAATAAAACTAATGGACGAGTTTTATCAATAAGGATAGAGATGGACAAAACTCAAATTCTTTTTCATCGTTTTAACTTGAATGAGCACGAATAATTGCGAAAAACCATGATCATATTCTAGTCTTACACGTCGGTATGTGGAATTCACGTTAGTTGTGTTCGGCGCTAAGCTACAATGATATGTCGTCATGAATATAGTTTCATTTTTAACGTTACATCAGGTTGGTATGCGGTGAATCGTATCAAAACACGGTAGTTAACTGTTCAAACAATAGGCATAACGCTGGTTTAAAATTATATATCAGAAAATAAGCGTTTTTCAGCATCACATGAGATGCTCGTCATGACACGTTTGTCGTTATGGCAAAGAAGAGACGTAGTCCACGAATGATCTTAGACTTAATACACAGTTATTTAATCTTTGTTGAAGGATCTCCGAACCTCTATATAACTATGCATTTGGATCTGTTTTTTTCTGCCTATAATATTAATAAATTATTTTTGAAATGTAAATTATACCTTGCACGACTTTTTTTATGAAAAATAATATTTAAGATGAAAAAATAATAATTAAACAACAGTATTCTGAAAATAAAAATAAAAACTTGTCAAGACGAGAAATGTATTCCTGGTTCTCAGACTATAATACTATCGCCTAACAAACTAGTAAACAGAAGAATATTTGTCATACAGATACACCTGAAACGAAATTAATGGGAGCTAAATATACATATGAAATCATCTATGTTTTACCTGCAGGAGGACAGGGATCGTTAAAATGTTTGATAAACCGATTCTGGCAAATCTGATATAAAGATTACACCTACCGGTAGCATGATAAATTCATTACCATTGGTTGTCAGTATGAGAAGAAGTTAAGAACGACTTGAGAACGACTTGAGAACAACTTGAGAACGGATTCCCCCATTCCCCTGCACTTCGGAACGTTTTCCTCAAAAAACGTCTGCTCGCACCATGTGACGTCCGAAACCGAAAATAGTATCCACACAAAAGTGATCCGCGTAAGAAAATAGACCGTCATAAACAGATCATTACAAAGTTACGAGAAAAAATGTGAGAATACCAACACCATTTCAGGTGTAAATGTGCATATGGAAAAGCCAATAACGATAAGATTATTTTAAAATATTTTGTCCACGTAGTTTAAGGTTCATTGTATTCCTCCGCGCAAATCTTCTATTTGTTTACGTCTGTCACAGGCGATCGTTGACCATTGAGCTTAGAAGTCATTTGGAAAACATGGTGTTTAGTTGAATTTTTTAAATGGAGAAATATATAAGGTAGTAGTATATAGATGATAAATAGTTTATCATACAGTATCTTCATTGTTTGTCGTTTGAACAGTTTTCTCAGCTCGCACGTAGATACAATCTCGAGTCCACCTGCGGTCGCCTCTCGATTTTATCCACGTGCTCGCGATGACAAAATTAGTCTCACGACAAACCCTTGTAATACAGTGTCATAATCTATAATTATCAAACCGTTTTTATCTTAAGTAAGGTTAATAACTCATTAAATATTTCAATTTTCAGTTTTGTAAACCAGGTGTGGACAATAAGTCAATGGGTCAATAAATCTCAAATGTAACTTCACTTACATGAATATGTTTTTAATACATCAAATATCTTTCAGAACAATAATCATAATCCATTATGAGTCGCAATTGTACTATTGCTTACTATATGATAACCTTATCGGTAATTAAGTTAAACCTAAAACAAGGACAAGTAATGGTGATGACAATGGCTCATTGTTAACCAATAACATGTATACGCATTGAACTTGATTCAGTTGCAGTTTTGTCATTAAATTTCGACACAGCCTACAAATTATATGTTATATGTTTTAATCAAAGACACACAGAGTCAAACATATATATATTTAATATTATCTCACGCATAGGAACGACGTTAACCATGAGTACCGTACAAGATGTCTGTTGCTTTGGAGAACAAAGAAGGACAACTCAATGATATGTTCTCCACCGGTAAACTATATACAATTGGCATTACAAACCATTGGCACTGTAGGCTGGTAGTCATTACAAGTATTATAGTAGTACATTTACCCTTCACCGGTAAACTATATACTATTGGCATTACAAACCATTGGCACTGTAGGCTGGCAGCCATTGCCAATGTTATAGTAGTACATTTACCCTTCACCGGTAAACTATATACAATCCGCATTACAAACCATTGGCACTGTAGGATGGTAGCCATTACCAATATTTCAATAGTATATTTACCCTTCACCGGCGAACAATATACAATTGGCATTACAAACCATTAGCGCTGTAGGCTGGTAGCCACTACCAATATTATAGTAGTACATTTACAATTCACCGGCGAACTATATACAATTGGCATTACAAACCATTAGCGCTGCAGGCTGGTAGCTATTACAAATATTATAGTACTTCATGTAAATTTATCCTTCACCGGAAAACGATATACAATATGCACTACAAACCATTAGCACTGTACGCTGGTTGCCATTACCAATAGTATAGTAGTACATTAACCCTTCACTGGTAAACTATATACAATTATTATAACAAACCATTAGCACTGTAGGCTGGTAGCCATTACCAATATTATAGTAGTAAATGTACATTTACCCTTCACCGGTAAACTATATACAATTAGCATTACAAACCATTAGCACTGTAGGCTGGTAGCCATTACCAATATTATAGTAGTACATTTACTCGTCACCGGTATACGATTGGTAATATAAATCTAGCCAACTTTTAACATTTACTCCAAAAAAAGCAATCGCAAAAATAAATATTGCTTTGTGAATTAAGAATATAATTCAATTGGATATATGTTTCATGTATGAATATGAAATACAATAATGTGTAACAGGAAAGAGAACAGTGTGCTTCCGGATATTCCCTCTAGCTCGAAGCTAAAAGGCGACCTTTATCCTATGCACAATTAAAACCTGCCATGTATGTATATGTTTATATACTATATAATTTAATAATGTTACATTTTTTATTTAAAGTTGTGCAAAAATCCTGAAATGATATAGAGATACATTTTAACAAATAAATGATATCTTTTCATGAAGAAAAGTTGTGTTATATCGATATCTTCACATGAAATATATAAAGCCTTCAATTGGTATTAGAAAATAAAAAATAAGTCTACCACAATACGCTGTTATTCCACTCTCAGATCATTGTATAAACACGATGACTGTTAGATAAATATGAGTTATATACCACACGTGGTATATGACCTACACGAGTTTTGATTGGTCGAGAAGATGAACTTTGACCGGGACGACTTTTTCCACGCGCTTTTTGTCACAATTTGTTTTGTTACGTCGTCTGCTGTCAACATTCGACAAATGTTGGTGACTTTGTGAGGTTATGAGGAAAAGGGGGTTATTAAGGCAATATTTAAAGAGATGATACTTAAAGATTTGATCGCTAGTTTCAGGCAATATTGCTGCAGACGCTCAATATCGTTTCGACGTCACACCGTCTCGTGTCCAGGTCATAAAACCAAAACAAGATCTGTCACAGTGTCGGAAAATATTTCGTTCTCCCAACGTCCCGTTATCGCTATTTGGACCGTCTGACTATGGCTGAACTGTCACTATAAACGTCAACCATTGAGCCGTCACGAAGAAACGTAGGCCTATGGTTTTGGACATTAACAGCGATAAGTTCGTCTTCGTCACTTGGCGGGAGGCAGACTTCGTACGATATGCTTACGCGCATATAGTCCGTTGTTGATTTATATAAATTAATGCAATACTGCTACTCCTAATATTTAAAGTCGTTCATCTATTATATTTTATCATGAAGTCGTTGCCGAAGCATTAATTTTGACAATTATTAGATTTGTAAAACAAAAAGGCCATTTTTGAATATTAATGAGTGACGTTGTGTAACCTCTATATATCTATTTCTAAAGATGCTATTATGCTACTTATATATGTATCTAATTTTGGATTGATACCTGAATATAAATTAAAATACCACTGTATGTTAAGACACTGTAAATTATTAGTTAGTAAACATAGCTGCTTCCAAAACAAATATGTATAACTTACATTCGATAGTTGCTGCTTCGACCTCGAACAAGGATACTCCCAATCTCGCGAATTGCATCGGGCGTTATTTTAAATGTCAATAATTCACCTAATCATGCATGCATTAGATGAAATGTTTATGCTATAAACGAAAGTATTGATATGTTTGAGGTGAAATAGAAAGATACTTAAAAGACGACTAGATTGCTGAGGCCTTCGCCTTTATGTTTAGTGTGTGAGGGTGCACAAAATTGGCCTGTGGAACGATATCGCCGTAATTATTTGTTTCGTCATCACTCTCATCATCAGCATCATCATCTGTCTTCATCACCTCGGAAATTACCTTGTTTCTATGTAACGTTGATAAGAGATTCTCGTTCTGTTCATTTCTTTGTTTGATGATGTTTATTTGGTCTTTGGATATGTTCGAGAATCGACCATTTTTCTTTAGATGCGGTCCTACGATTTCTGCCACAACATCAGACTTGTAGTTATCCCACATCGTCTTTTCTTGATAGGATCTTAGGATCATTTCCTCGCTGGGATGTCTAGTGAACACAGAAAACAATTATATAATCACATGACTGAAACTACATCACTTTCATTACGAAAATATCAGGTATCCCGTTTCCTTTGATTATAATCAAACAATCATTTTTGTGCGTGTATGTGTGTGGTGAAATATTGAATAGTTTTTTTTAATTGAACTAATAATTAGAGAGCAACGTCATCAGGCTTCATGCTAAAATCAAAACACGGCAATTTAGAAAAACAAGTGTCACATCAGAAAAATGAAAACGACGTTCTACTGTGCCTTGTTAAAGGGACATCACGTGGAAAGGCGTTTTCTTTTTTTAATGAATGTATGTATTGTATGTACTTCCACTAATGTTACTTCGCTATCCCCATATTCATAGTCCGTTCCAAATGTCCAGTTTGACCACTTGAATTGTTCGGGAAAGCCCTGCTAAAAATAGCGCCGATAACGTCACCTGACTAGGCAGTAAACACAAGTGGTGCGAGCGAGATGAAACGTTTCCAAAGGGGCACCCAGAGAGGGGCCGTTAGGCAACTGCAACGTCTTACCGCACTATGAAACCAAGTTATATGATTTCTAAGTCCGTATTCAAACTTATTGAACAGTAATTATTCATCATTGAAGTTAATTGCACACTTGCCAATATTCAGAATTTAAATTTATTTAGCTTTAAACATAAATTTGTTGCCAATAAAATTTAACAAGGGATGGGGCACACGTTTTTACAATTTATCACAGCCTTCTCTCGTCATACATTTGCAATTTAATGTCAACAATGATAATAGGCATAAACATAAAGTAGATATATTTAAATATATATTGAATTTAGTACCGGAATGTGGCCGGTACATATGTTACGGGGCTAAACACATTCCCTACACCAAGGGACATCACAACAGTTATCCCTTGGAGGGCCTCATGGAAAAATCAAACTAACCAGTCAATTATCCCTTCCTTTCGCATAAATCACTGTATAATTATAGAAACACAAAGTAAACTCTCTCCAATACATGCCCATTAACATATTAAACTAAGTTCATCTGTGTTTAAACACAGAAAAAGATACTAGCGAGCTTAATAGTTTTAGATATTTATTCATAACATAAACAGCGCTAGCATTTCTGTCGATTCCATTTCAGCTTAACCGGCTATCCGGAAGAATACATGCACCGTACTAACTGCTACGGCAGTTATTTTCTCCTTTGAATACTGCCCACCTGCAATAATGATTCCGTAACGTACTCCTTGCGCTATCTTTTGACCATTTGGCAACTTTTCGTTTCGTAGCTGACACGGTACAACACTTTTCTTTCGCTTACTTCACACGGCCAGTCATTTTGTTTACAAAGAAATGGTGTGCTATGCGCATGTGCTAGTAGAGGGAAATCCCTGAACAAAACGTTGGTCAGACAGGTAGAAATACCGATGATTTTCTTAGATTTAATCATTTTTATGAATCTATTTCAGCCAAATCCGACCGTTATTTTCCATAAGGAGTCTCACTTGATATGTTTATGTAGTATTTGAAAAAAAGACAAAAAATAAAGTTACTTCACCGTGATGCCCCTTTAAAGCATAAAAAACAAACCTTTCATGTCACAATCCAAGATGGTGGCCTGTCGGCCATTTTTCATATCCGATCAGTCTTTAAGGATATATACTCTTTTCTGATGAAAAACACACTTACTACTCAACTACATAATTTGTTAAAAAATTATATATCAGGTACAAATAAATCGTCTTCTTGATATCGAATAATACGTCTGAAATATTTTAACTGACATATTAATCTTTATTAATTACGAATAGATTATAATCACTTGGTACAAGTGTCAGTTATTTTACACAGGTACGGTCGTCTCGCCATCCAGACAGTGATTAGAAAACAGTATGCCCATTAACGGCAATATATAAAACGCCAAATAATACAGCCAGTTGTTAGAAAAATAGTTTCAAACAGAAACAAATAAGACAGGAGAAATTGATTCACTTAACCTAATTGGCTTTTGAAGAAATGGTTATACATAGCCCTTATGTGTTTTGTAGTGTTGAGATTTTAATAACAAAGTTTTCCTTTAGTTTTAACTGGTGCATTTCAAAAAGGTATGCATATCATTGCACCATTCATATCTTCAACATTAGATAGGAAAAACACACAAAAAGTAGGGAATTTCATTTCTTAAGTTAATATGCATCTTCAATTTGAATATATATATATAATTTAAATACCCTTCTAATCACAAGGTCAATGAATACAATTTATTTCTATTTATTATGCATATTGCATTGAATACAATTAAAGTTACGATTGAAATGTAGTTATTAAACATCACATGTAAAAGAAATGTATTTAATAATTCTATGTAGCAAGAAATAGCCTCCCTAGCAACACTTTAAATTGCAATATAGATGTATTCAACGCATAATACATTAAGCTTTATTTAAGTATACATGCGTTGCATTTAATTCTAGATATTTAATAAACTGCACATAACAAGATCTAAGTGTGTAAAATACGCTTTGCATATGAAAATCGAATTATCACATTGCACATAAAACGCACTCTTTATCACTACAACTATATATAGGTGATCAGTAATCTCACACTATTATATTTGATACATTTTAATAATAGAGTCTTAATATATGAAACAGCGATGTTTTCAGAAAAGGGTAGTACTGCTATATAGCTATTACTTCAGCAAAGGAAACAGCAAATTCGCATTCCAAATGAACCGAAGAGCAGGGCGTCCGGAGCAATGGTACAATTTAACTAGGTTTCGGAGCTTGCCATGCCAGTAGTACAATAGAACTAAATAACGGGGCAATCAATTCCAAATGGTTTTTACCTATCTTTCTTTGCAAGTCGTTTGGCATGTAGCAGAGCATCATGACTTGTCGTGTTGAAGAAATTCTTCCGTTTTATCCTCAACATCCGGGTACCTAGGCTAACAAGTATCAGAGTACTGTTAGGCGGACGTCTTGACGGATACATAATACAAAACAGGTCCTGTAAAATCAATCAATTAATATCAATTGGTTTTCTCGTAACCAAACACTTCATGTTATACATTACATGCATATGACATATTCACCCTGTTATACAAGATGATTTGTTCGTATTAGGGGATATTATGAAATATTGCAATGTACAAAAGTGATTTATCAATGGGTATTTCGATACAACATGAAGATGATTATTTGATAATTATACAGTAATGTTTAAATGGTCAATCAGCACAATAACATCATCATCAAAACAGTGAACGTTAGTCAGCTGTTAATGTAAAGATTGATCGCACCTAATCTCTTTGGTTTCGATGAATTGTTTCAATCTAAACATTTACAAAAAGTCGTCATTGTATGACCAACAAGTAGCTGCACTTCCTTGAAATAAACAGCATCCTGTTATCTTCACTTTTAGAAGTTTTCAATAAGTAACAATGTTTACAGCTTAGCTGGGAAAAAACAAAACAATGGAACAACTAATATTGCGAGAGGTTGCAATATTTGCATGTTAAACGACAACAATAACAAACAAAAAAAACGAAAACAGATACCGAATCTACGGCTATGTTTGATTAATTCACTATCAACGTGTTAAATACACTATATGATCCTTACAAATATGTCTTTGCTATGTAAGCAGCCGATATCCAAATAAACGTAGTCTTTTCCGTCTGGACTTTTCTTATTTTGTGCCATCAGTGATGTCAGAGTTGTCGGTCCTTTTTTTGACACCACTTCCTTTTTCTTTGTGACAACTTCTTTGTCTTTGCTCTTCATTAACCGGCGACGCTGTGAAGACGTAACATTTTTCCTTATATCTATTTCATTATGTGTATAATTATCTATTAATTGTTTTTCTTTCTGCAAAAATGATTAAATCAATGTGTTCTCATATACATATGTGAACGATTTTATTTTCTATGATGCAAGAGGTGCAATTATGAATAATGCGACCATTTTCTATTTTGTAACCTTTTCCAAACACAATCTTTACAATAACAAAGCATATAAGTAAAAACTACGTATTGGTGTGAGATTATGAAATGTGACATATTTTACTTTTTCCTTGTTTCTTTCCGCACGAAAAACATGAACAAAGTATAAAGACGGTATATATCACATCAATATGAGTGAAAAATAAACCATTCAAAATTATCAGTTAACAAAGTATCTCTGAACCTCTACAAAAAGAGTGCCAATTTGCTTTTGTTACTCTTAAAAAGAACATTGATGAACCTCTAGCTAGCACTGATACGTGTTTTATGACCATGTCTTCAATTCCAAGAGATTAATATTCCGTCTTTGCATATTGCAGAGTTATCTTCTCTTGAGAGCAGGTATTGATTGTTACGTCATTGGTTTGTGTGAGAAAATTACGTCGTTTACTCAAAAATTGATGACGTTACTCTCACAAACAAATGACGTAACAACCAATACCTGCTATCAAGAGAAGATAACTCTGCAATATGCAAAGACGGAATAGGATATACAAGGTGCATGTATATAACTTGTATCATCCCTCTGTGTTGTCCTTCGCGGACTCATCGATGATGCCAAGGGTAAAAAACCGAAAAGCAAATCGGTCTAAACTACTGTTCAAACAGAAAAGGAAGTGCGTAAAAATGCCTTACACAAATTGGAATATAGCAGTGGACTTATTATTTTCAAATTGATAATGAGTAGAGTGTATATATTATGAACTGTGCAGGTACATGTATGATTATTTGCGTGTGACATGAGGCTGGTGGGAAGGAATACATGTAAAAACAATTAGGAGTGAAATTATTTCTAACTGAGTGTTTACACCACTTAAAACAGTACACGTGTGCGTTCATTCACGCTAAGGATATAACAACATAACAAATTGAAGGTTAGATTGTTTAAGGTCGGGATCAAGGTGAGGACTGCTGCACAGTCTGATGAGCTACACATATGTTCATATGGATAATACCATTTACTATCGTTAGGTATATTTGGAATACCTATTGACTAAACAAGAGTCAGACTGATTAACACTGATAGAACATATGGTTGTTCTTTGTGCATCTTTTCTAAACACATTGGAATTGATAACCAAATCGTACAGGATAACAGAGAAACAAAATGTTACCAGTGTGTCGAGTAGCGTGCTCAAAAATAATGCAGCCTTGTTGTAAAGTGTGACATCTTTATAAAGCTGCACGATTGATAACGCGATTCTATTCCTGTACATATCCGTAGCGGCAAATTGTTAAATAAAATGATACCCCGATGTTAATTGTACTGATTCATATTGTTGTAACTTCACAAAACTGGCCATGCTTATTATGATGATAATAATAATAATAATAGACATTCTTTATTGAGGATAAATACATGTTTAGCTTTGGATTAATCTTACACGTGGTCCTCAAACCATTATGCATAAAAAAACATAAGACAAAGAGAGACGGTTCTAGCCGAGTCTGGTTACAATACCTGTTCCAGCAGAGTGCTAATGTAGTCCTTTGTCTGGTTGGTAAAAGAAGCATTTCACCATTAAAGAAATAATTTTATAAGTATAAAATCTTATTGATTACTCTATTTTTTCACTTTTAACAATAAGAATGAGACATGTTGTGTTATTTAGATATTGCATTTAAAGCACTTCTTTTAGAGCACACACAAATAAATAGGTTTGAGAAAAAATGGTTTCATTCATTTGATTTGCATTGTGTAAAGCATAACATGATTGTCTCTTTCAATGCTTTGCCCATCGGCCCATTGGCATTTTTCACTAATATTCGGGTACTGAATTCTTACGGATTATTTTCACCACATAGTACATACGATATTTTAAGTCTCGTTTTAAATTCGCTCTCTCGTTCAGTGGCAACAAATGAAACAGGAAGCAAACTTCCGTTTTATATTTATTGATTTAGACTTATTAATAAATGCAAAATGCTTTTAAAACATTTTGCTTAATAGATAATGCAACAAGTACGATAAATCTAGGTACCCTTCCGTCTTGGCGGTACTCCAATGACATCGAATCCAGCATTCTTTCCTTTCCAAGTTCGTCGTCCAAATCTTCTGATTCTGCCTCCTGTTTGTCTGAAATCACACAACACAAACTAGTCATCATATGGAGCTTAGTCTGAATAGTTTATGTCTTAAGCATGGTTCAAACAAACGATACGAGATTTGTTTAGAACACATGCGTCCTACATCGCTCAGAATACGCTTACCGATCACAACCATCTGATCTGAATCCGTCATGAAGTCCATTTTCAATAAAAATACGTTGCGTATTATTTTATGCACAAAAAAACCCCGAATTTTATGATAGTTTAATAGCACTGAATTTTGTAGCTAGAGATTTGATAACATTATGTTTCCTGGACGCTAACCTGCTTACGTTCGACATATGGTGAGTACCAGGTTTTAAACAGCATACCCTGATTACGAAATGTTTCTGACACCGTATTCTCAGAACATTATGTTTTGAAATATTAAATACATATAACAAGCACATATTTGCAATGTAATAAGAATTAAAAACATTAGAACATAATCATGTGTAATCACACATACGTGACCAAAAAAATCACCTACTCTTGTCCTGTATGTTTTTGAGTTTTCCAAGGATGTCAAGCACCTCGTCAGACAACAGTGGAGTTGACGCTCGTTTCGCCTCTGACGATTTCTTATGACTTGACTGGACGTCTAATGCCACTCTCCGGATGATCTGACACTTACCCTAAATATGAAATGTTTCCGAACCGACATATATCTATTGCTATCTTGTTGACAACAGTGTCATAAATTTAGTATTGTGTATTATAATACTCTATGGTAAAACGATATCACAACAGATACTTTTTGCTTGATTGTCTCTTTAGTATAATAACAATATTCCATTTTGTGTGCAATAAATACATTTTAGAATCATGCATTATCACGCATATATCACCGTCATATTATATACATATGCATGTTTAAATGTCTACACTATTTGCAATTTATTACTAAGTATACACTGATAAACTACTAAGTATACATTCAAGCGTAAATATATATCTGAAATATGGTGTTATAAGTTTCATTATAGAGTTATCAATTTTCGGGCAATTGTCTTCATAATAAGCAGTATGGCTGAACGAATTAAAAGTATTTCAGATATATGTTTTCCTAAATTAGTTTTGAAAACCATTGCGGTATGAAAAAACCCACATATGGAATAGGTTAGTTGACTCGTCATTATTTTTTTGCATGATAAATGTACAGCTGCATAAACATGTATCTACCTGAACATGATTTTACATGTAGTTATCTCCCTTACCTCCATACAGACGTAAATCCAGTCCTCGTCAGTGTCGACCACTATCACCTTATTGGTCTTGTACTGAAGATTTAACGATCATGTCAATATAATTCTTCTTCTTTAACTTGTTGACTAAATTAATATATATCACTTTTTGATTTGACGAATATTTTTCTTTAACATAGAGATTTAAACAACATGTTTCTTTAATTTGTTGACTAAATTTACATTTTCATTTAAATCTTCATTCTCTTGAGCCAGTATTTTGAGCTGGTTGAACTACATATGTACCATACACATTGTAAAATAAATGAATTAATTAAATCAAGCAAATTAAATCAAACAAAGCTGAAGATTCAACAATAATAATATTGTTATCCTATATATTACGCATCACAATAACTAAAATAGAGCACGTTTAATACTGCAAAATAAAGTAAGTTGAAGGTGTGGTGCATCACATGACAGGTACTGCCAATTTAGTGCTAATTATGACGTCACAGTGAAATATTTGACGTCAATGTTTTAAATAATGTGACGGGACACTGATGACTATGACGTCAAGTAATATAGTAAAATTACATACCATGAACCACACCGTTAACACTCAAGGGGTGTATAAACTTGTATTCAAAGTTGTTATGAGAAATAAGACAGCAACATACAATCAGAAAGAGCACGATGAAATCCTTAAAGTCAATGTCATTACTTCCCATGGCATACACGTGTATGCAATATCTCATTTTTGACAAACAACATAAAATTGCTTATAAATATTAATTAATTTCGCAAATAAACCAGCCTGTTCATTTCTGAAGCGTCACACAGTTTACATTAACAAGCCTTAACAGACATACCTCCTGAATTTGAGCTTCTGTACAGACACGTTTGATCGTCTCTTTAGTCCATACTCGGCTGTTAAATAACGGCAAATGGCTGAAAACAAATAACACATGTTATATAGTACATGCATCAACTAATGTTGAACTATAAACATGTGGTTAGGACTAAAATGTGAGGACAAACATGCCTTTATATAATTTGGTATGAAAATCTCAAATCTCGTATTGATATTGAAGGTACATTTCTATGTATTAGTGATAGTGAGTAAAATCTCATAGGAATGTACTGAGAAATAAATAAATAAATAAAACATTGTATCCTAATGTGATATTCGGTATTTCGGATCATTGGTTCACAATAAGATTCAATACAGCGATGTTTAAATTCTTCATTTCGACGGCAAGTGTTAGACAATTATATCAAAATGACGTAATGCCCTGCGATTTAGAAAACATTTAATTCTATCTAAAGTTATTGGCACGAGAACTAATTACACGTCATTTTAAAGTCTTTTTACTTCTGATATGGTTGACCTGTTAGTAGTTGTCAAATAATGTCAGGTCAAGTTAACACAAAAGACGATTTTTTAGTTAACGTCAACATTAAAGGTAAAAAAAAAAATCAAAATAAGCGGAACTGACTAGAATAACATCCTGTCTAGTATACAGTAACATCCAAACGTGTTATACTGAATTTTTCTTATACGGATTTTGTTCAAAGAGTTACACGTGCAATACAACTAAACAAACCAGCACCAGCATACAATACAAACCAAAGAAAGCGTTCCTTTTCCTCCAGTTCCTCTTCAAAGATTTTGGGACAAACCTTTGAAAACGTGTCCTTATCCACTACCAGCATTTCACATACCTCCCGACACGTGATCGACGCTGTCCGTCTGATGTCTCGGAGGAGAGCCAACTCCTGTAGGTGGCACACCCAAACAGTTATAGTATAAGATTTTCAAATTCGTGATATCAAAGAATATTACATTAATATTTCAAATCTCTCAAAAATAATTCAGATATACTTACTTACGTATTTATAAAGTATTTATAATGCATGTATCATCGAATGTCTATAAAGTAGGACATCTAGCACCTATTTAGGAAATATTCATGAAACCGGTTCCTGTATGATAGACTGTTGTACTATTACTTTATATGCCAATGAATACTGTGCAAACAGATTTAGTTCCTGTATAAAAAAAAATGTTTCACACTGATTACTGTATCTGTCTATGTATGAAAGTTGATCTTTAATGATTAACCGTTTTGCAGTGAGTGCACCCGTCAATGATATTCATGAAGGTCAACTCTTGTACAGAAACCCTTGACAAATGAAAAGTAAGTAACAATGCTAGTTCCTGTTTGATAAACTGGTATATAATTACTGGTTTCGTCAATGCTTACTAAGCACGTGAGCTACCCACCAATTGTATGATTATCCATTTCACAGTTACTGTATTCTTAAATATTACTGAGCACGGGATCTAGCTCTTGTATTATAAAACGTTTTACAGTTGCTGTATCAGGCAGTGATTACTTAAGATAGCCAGCACCTATATAATGGTAATTTATGCATAGATACACATTTGCCTTAATACACAAGAATCTAACATATGTAGCTGTAACTGAATTTCTTCAGAAAATGTTAAACGAACAATATTTTATAGAAAGTATTTTTTTCCTTTCGTTGTAAAAAACCTTCAAAACATAATAAAACGTCAAATCGGATCGAATAAGATTAAGCACTCATCGTGGGGCATTTAATATGATTGAAAAAATATAATCTGATATTACTTATAATTAGACAATGCATAAACGACACGAAGCTTTCTATTTTTGATTGGAACGTTACGTAAAATGTGAATTATTGAGCTTATATACGTTGTTAAATACTTATCTACATATGATGATATCAATACATCATAGTATCTTGTATTTAGCTCCAAAAGGTGTGCTGAAAGAGCATAGGATTCCGCAAATGGTATACGTTACTTCTCTGAATCCCTGAAATATGTCAATGACAAATTCGAAGATTCTCTACGCAGTATCTTTACGCAGTAAATGCAATTCGGCTGGTTACATTTTGTACGTGACATTCGCGAAGATCAAATGATCACTAGGCTATGAGTTGGTTTGAGCGCTATTGGAAGCTTCAATCGACTGGTATCAGCCAAGCCATTGGTGACGATTTCATACCTGAATCAAATCAGATAGTAGCTCATTTCGAGCGAGGATGGCATATTGAAGGGATGCAGAGAAGATACGTAAATTAAGAGCGAAACACGTTGATTTGAACAATGAATATGATCATAAATGTCAGAAAATTTCACTGACGCTCTTTCAGTGATAAACATTCGCATTTCAACAAACGATGTGAGAACGGAAGCTCGATACTTTCGTATATTGAAATATATGACGTAACACTTACTCCAAAAGCATCCCCTCGAAGTAGAACGGTCTCAGTTTTCTCAAACTTTTCTCCGTCGATGTTTCTATCCTCCAGGTTCACAAATACAGACCCAGAGAAGATAAAGTAGAAATTAAATCCAACATGTCCTCGTCTTAAAATCACTCGGCCATGCTCCACACTGAAAGCAGAGCAGAACAAGTACTGCGAAGTGAATGCATCGCAGAGTGAACGGTACATGTGCAATTCGAAGAAAACAAAGACTCTCCCATGGTTATAGATGAAGGCTAAGGAAATTCCACCATAGGGATTTTTAATTCTATTGAAACCTTAGGCTTATATACAGTTTTGATACAATTTGAAAATACCAAGGGTTAAATTCCCCCATTCTACACCCCTGAGCATGACAAAAGGTATGTTTTCTCACATTATTATCACCCGAATTAGCACAGAAACCACCAAAAGCGTAACAATTTGCGCATCGCTGCATCGGAATGCTCACGATTTCATGACTTCAAGTCATTGTTGTCCTATTGTGACTTCAGATACCTGAAATATAGTGTTAGGTTATATTTTCTTACACCCTTTTCATTCTAGAGCAAATATGTAATAATTTAATCTTGCTTGTAACAAGCATTTTCATTGGCTTAACAAATTATGTTATCAGCCCATAACGTAAAAAAAATGACGTCGCCGTTTGTAACGTCGCTTTTGATTGGCTTATACAGCAGCGCAATAATTTCTAAAAGAAAAGAGTCCATCAATACAAGTTGATTTCCAAAGAGATTGTGTATAGTAGATTAAATTATAAGTATTAACTTGAATATATTTCTCCTGTTATGGAGGTATAACACAAAAAAAACGTAGTGTACTCTCATCATAAACCGCTTCGCTGTTTATTTAGAGTACACTCCGTTTTTTTTTGTGTGTTATACCTCCATAACATGAAAAATACATTCAAGTTAATCCTTAAATATTCGCATTTGAATGAGAAAAATGCTGCAGTCTACGTCATAATCGTATGAGGCAACTAATGTGATACCTCCTCAGATTTTTTATTTTTAGTAGTCACCTGTAGTATACTTCTACATTGCTGATTCCAAAACAAAAAAACAGTCACAGTCGTATGCGGATATCAGTTTTACCTTTGCAGTATAACTTAGGAATATAATATAAAAATGTACATACATGATGTAGCGAAAAGCCCTACACATAGACAGTTGAATTTTCTCTGTAAATTTGTCGAAGCTTTTAAGTCCTCTGAGTAGGGCGTGAAGTCTCCGGCAATCATCTTCCGTCCGGTCTTCTGGGTCAAGGTTTAGAATCTCCTTTGCCCAGTTTGGTACTTTAGCAAGTGTCTACATATAAACAAAGATTTACCATTTTTAAATACTTTCTTTGGTAAGCATAGATTGTACAAATATTCAAATATAAGAACACGAATACAAACATGTACCATGACATGGAATTCACTAAAATAGCACACTTAACAGTGTCATGTCACGCAAACAGAAAGTAGATATTTCAACAAAAAATGTAAATAAAACAATTGGTGCCAACACATCTGTGGGTGCAATAGGGAGCACACACGTAATTTAAAACATGTATGCAATGTATTAATAACTGATGAAAGTATGTTCCAATCATTATATTCTACCTCTGTTCATATAAGGAGTATACAATGGAAAATGTCATTTTCTCATTCTCAATCAACGAACAGATTGTAATCTATATTTGAATATTTGATGATAAGGTGATATGAATGTACATGTAGGTAGCCCTAGGGTAACATGTGTCATTCTTTCGGCGTAACAGAATACCAAAGAGTGATCAAAATCATATTTTAAAAATTAATTCCATATTTCTAGATTTGATCAAAGGACAGATGTTAACAAAGATCACTCATCGAGACCTGATGGAATTTTGGCCCAAGCCATACAAACCCATTGAAACAATCTGGGCTAGTGTCAACGAAATCACAAGTCACACTTACTAGCATTATCACAAACATCGATATTCACTTTTCACAAAAAATAACACCTTTTCTAGTCAGATCATGTTGGTAATCATAAAACTGCCATTAATCTATATCTTGATTTATCACATAATCGGCCTGTTATCCAGTGAATTCGCCTGTGTAATATTTTTTACATATGTCACTAGTGTAATATACCCTGGAGCGTTTTGCATTGGCTGTGCCAGTCAGAAATCGATTGTGATGTCATAATATGGACAATGACGTGACGTCATAAATTGTGAAAGGCGCAACAAATTGGCTGTCTCCGTTTGATTAAGCCTCTACATTTTGGCCTTAAAACCTGTCAAAATGTAAGTTTTCTGAGTTATGTGATAAAAAAAGTATTTTAAATGTGTTTTTATTTCATATGAGCTTTTATGAAACTCGTCTCGAAGTTTTAACTTTTGCTCGCCAAGGCTCGCAAAAAAAAAAAACCTCTTAAGACTCGTTTCATAAAATCTCATATGAAATGAAACCTCATTTAAAATCCTATTATGTATCCCAACAAAGTCCGTATAAGGTTGTCTGTCTACTTACCCTCTCCCGTGCGAACAGTGCCTTGTTGAAGGCCAGTGCCCGGGCCTCGTTACTATTGTACAGGGTATACCACTGCTCCTCTGCTGCTGTCCGGGGCGTCTTACGGTCACTGATGTTGATTATAATCCGTAACCATCCGACCAGAACGCGTACACAAAGGATAGCCACTCGAAAGCGGTTGATTGCCTGATGTGATAGACAAAATGTTGATATTAGTAACTACTAGTACTCCCATGGTTATTGTTGATATTGGATTTTTTTTATACATGTAAAACATTTGATATAGCGCCCTATCTAGCTAGAATAAGCCACTCTAAAGCGCTTTACAGTACATATATATACAATTGTATACAATCAGTACAATAAGCATATACATTAATCAATACATTTTTTAGGAATTCGCAGGAGCTGCCTTATCAGGCGCTACCTATTAGTCATATGCCACCTAGCTAATATCTCCCTTTGTGTAAATGCCTGCATGTGAGTTGGGGATGTATTGTGTTCTGTTTTTATTAGGACCGTGCTTCCAATTACATCATTTATAGTGTCACCTCACATGAATGCTACACCACAGATATCAAAACATCCACCCCAGACCATTGTATACTCCACCTGGGTTGTTGGAGTTGTGTGGGCAGGAGAAAAACACTTTCTTTAAAAAAAACATGCGTACGACGACTCCAGGGATCGAACCCCGCCCGCTTGTGTGGAAGGACGGAGTGTGAACCACTCGGCATAAGATCAGTTTTAATATGTTTTTTGTAGAAAGAATAGAATATTTGTTTGGTTTATTGAACTGTGACCGATATAGACCACATAAAACAATACAGCAATTTTAACTGATCTGGTTTTACATCCTGCCCGGTTCTCATTTAATTTCACAGAAAGATGCAATAATGTATTGTCATTTGGTTTTGTATAGGGACACCAGCCCAACCGGTTTCCCATTGTTACTCTGGTCAGATATGTGACGGAGGTAGCCCACTTCTAGTCAGTAGTATGACAAAGTTACACAGCCATCGTTTTAATAGTACATGCATTAGTACAATAATCTTTATTTATTTTACAACAACAATGAAAAAAATTAAAACGAACTTGTATGTGTCACTCTTGTCTACACAGATGGTAGCACGCTTGGGTTAATGTTTAAGGGAACCAGAGTACCATATTCCGTCTTTTCGTATTGCAGAGTTATCTGCTCTTGTGAGCAGGTAATGATTGTTACGTCATTTGTTTGTGAGAGTAACGTCATACATTTTTGAGAAAACGACGTAATTTTCTCACACAAACCAATAGCGTAATAAGAGCAGATAACTCTGTAATACGAAAAGACGGAATAAAACGAACGTGGTCGGACAGGTGACGGTTGTCACAAACAGCTAACGTTTCTTTTAAATTCGATACAATATCATATAACAAAAGAAAAAAAACATTTACTGACATTTTAGTGGCGACCTACCGATTCCAAATCAAAATATATATGAGCTGACATATTTTTACAAAATGTATGAATACATTATAAAAGTTCAACACGATATGATCACAAATGCCTACACACATGTCAGTGTTAACTTTTAGTGGATTAATGGAAGATAATACAACAACATACTTATATTGAGTCTCTATGGTTGCCTTGCTGAACACGTCAATATTAAAAAGTAAGATATGATAATATTTTTTTAGAATGATCACCAAGGCGTGAAAATTGTTCGGATCGATGACTTCAGAATTTTAGTATGTCCGATATGCAGTGACGTTGAAAATTCGGGGATGAACTATATATGGAATATCAAGAGATACTTGTATGTACCTACTGTAGGCAAATTGATTTTGAAATGTACATTGAGCACTAGGTTATACGATTAATGTATTCACAAATAGCATAACGAGATACCAACCTCGACCAGAGGAACCACTTACCTAATCTGAAATGATAATGTTCGTCAAGAAGAATATTTGGAAAAACTTATAATGATTAAGACGGAGAAAATAATATTACGTTAATGATAGCTAATTAAAGGTGACTATTGAAACGGGGCGACGGACAGGAACTAAACGGGGAAATAGGAGATGTCCTATATGTAATGACAGTGTACGGAACGAATTCTATCATTCATACGTTTGCAGAATCATAACTAGTCGTTTAAACACCGAATGTGGACTCTAATGGCAGTTTAAATTTCAATTCTTCAGTCAGAATATTTTTTTATATTTTTCCTTTTTTATGTCACATATATTTTTTAATTTATTTTTTCTATTCTATTTAACTATTTGACAATGCTTTGACGAACTCCTCCCGTCCCCCAACCCCGCCCCTTCCCCCACCCCTCAAAAAATATGTCGTGTCTTTCTATTCAATTTATAAGATACGTATATATTATACATGTTACGTCCTGCATAGTTTAATGTGCAGTGATTTGATAGATCTCTACACATTGCAATTATTGTTTTTAAATTGTACTTCATCATTATGTATCTACTACGTTATCACATGTTAGTACCCGTATGTAGAATTCAATTAATTATTCAATGATAGCCGATACATTTTAAGTCAAATTTGATTTGTTTTGTTAATGGTTTAGCATGTACTGTTCCCAACAACTTCAGCATATGTGGGTTGACAGTTCAATGAGATAATTTTGTTCGCCGTTCACCAATAAATATACTGTTTGGAACGTGTGCATATCACTACCATGACATTTTCAAGTAACGGAAACAGTTGCTGTGTGCCTTCTTTTAATTTTGTTAATGAGGTTTTTTAATTCTTAAGATCATGAGCAAGAAAGAGGTTTAAAAATACGAAAGCGTCGATTTGTAGATAAAAAAAAGGTAGTAGTAAGGTAACAGTTTCACGAACGGTATTCGTTCAGAAGCAAACATACATTGTAACAACTTCCTAATGATAACGCAAACCAACTTTTCAAGCGTTTACCTTGACATTTGGTTTCCTCTCCTCTTCTACATCATCTGGTAAGTTACTTTGGACACGTGACTTCTCATGATTTTCGTCGGTTTTTGCAAATCGTCGTTCAGATCGAATCGTGGACTTGAGACACTTTCTCTTTCGTTCACTAGCCCAGCAATTCTTTGTTTTCTGTTGTTGTGTTATCAAGAATGGTGTGATGGTATTTCGCGAGGAGATTCTCGAGAAGTTAGTTTGTTCCCGTGAATAGTATAAAGAAGTTGAATTCTCGCGATGAGAAATATTGGTTCTCTCCCGTCGATATCCATGGCGATCGGTTGCCATGGTTTTCTTCCCTTTGTAATTACAAGTCTTATATATCCATACTTTATCTGTCTCTTGAATACTCCCATATGCGAACAGTATTGTGTCCGTCTATATCAAACGGTCGGTACTTTCCCTTCCATTTCACTGAAGTCGACTTTAGCAATATTTTTTTTCAGTTTCTAGCCTCTTTATTACCATAATTTTGCCTATTTAGAACTTCGCAATTTGATAACTCTTTCATGATGTATCAATACGGGCTTTACATCAGAAGAGCGCGAGATTAACTCTGTGTACTTCTCCGGGCCAATCCCATTGACTCCATGTCACTGCTGTATGCATTGAATTCAGCCAATAACACCATCTCACATCACTAGTTCCTAATATGTATCTAAATCAAACATGTGTGAGTATATACATCATATCTACCCATGTGTCCCTGCACCCTATGGTGTAATAGAGAGCTTCTTAACTGAAAGAGCAAACGTACCTCAATAATACCTATTAACATAAGAAATCGTATATTACATACACATGTTTCGCTTTCTGAAATAATCTGTTCCGGTAGAGTAAGGCATCCGTGAATATATCTAATAAAAGGGAAACATTTTATCAATTGTATTGAAACGTCTCTGCGTTATTTATGAGTCGGTGGTTTTGAGTGTGATTAAAGCACCACGGGGGCACTGTTAACTAACTTAATCCCCCCATCTCTCTCACTGTCCTTTCCTTCCATTTTGTGTCAAATGGATTCGTTTCGACTCACTGCAAATATCAATGTAAATAGTCCGTTGTGACAATAATAACCTGGGAGCTCAATTAGATTTCATCACAGCCCCGAGGTGGTGAAAGACTTGGTACATGTTGATTTTTTGTTTAAATGACTTTTATCGTTTTCAAATAACATTTACTTTTAACTTTATTTGAAAATGAAATACCTACCTACACGTATGGATATATATTACATATAACCTAGGCACGCTACAATAACGCCTCGGACTTACTCTTTCCGATACAAGTCACCTAGACAATAAACATCTGCATATTAGATTTTGGAAGCCGATATGGTTATCAACCCGATGTTTTCAGCATGAACATATTAAAAAATCGTCTGCTGATGATATTTACGATGGCAGATATCGGACTGTCAAAACAGTGTTACTAGTACTACATTTTTGACAATGAAATATGTTCATATGTATTATGTCGCAAAAATTAAAAAAAAATAAAAAAAAAAATGTGTCAAAAATCTGCTACTAGCGATACGTCTTTGACACGAGATTAGTATGTACACATTTAGTGTACAAAATAACCACTACATGTAGTACTAGTAGTAGGTTTTTCTGCCACATAATGTGTACGTACAAATTTCGTTGACAAAAACGTACTACTAGTAACAATAATTGACAGTCCGATATCGGCCATCGTAGATATTTGTACCTAGATTGAATTTTAGTTATATATACACGGCTACGAATATCGCAATTATTTGTATAGTTATCACCCACTACCAAATCGATTTGTATAGTCCATATCTTAGTTTCAATGTATATAGCTATTGGTTGCGACACAGGCACTCATGAAAACCGCTATTAGTTAATCTGATCGTGTCGAATTGTTGGGTCTGTTGTTTACTGTAACTTCAAAACCCCTTTTCGAGGAGGCTGCGACGGTGTCAAGGTCAGGGCGACATTTAGTTCCCGGCTAGGCGATTTGGTACCGGATTTCCTGGGTTCGACACCATCACAAGGCATGAGTCAAAAGTTGTCTGTCTCCGTCAGTTTTCTGTATATATATACATATAAATTAAGAGGATGTATCAGGGCAATTAGCAATTGAATATCGAAATTGAGTCCGAATATTAGCGTGTACAGAAAGACTTTTATATGATTCATAAAACAGAAAAAAATCCTTTGCGATTCTGATCGATTTCAGTCGTCTTATTGTTTTTCGTTGATCTGTATTGAGCGTAATGATCGATGCATTAATTAATACAAGGATAACATCTCGCGTTTTCAAAGTTGTAAAGTACAAATAAAACTTCTTGTTTTTCATGTAAATTACATCGTTGTTACATTTTTTAAGAAAAAAAACACTCGCCTTTTTAACATCTAATATAAAATGTAATTAACGTTTTAGAACTAATACGTGTATTTTTAAGAATTAAGTATTGTGATGATAACAGTCTAATGAAAAAAGTGCATCTAAGGTCCGAAAGTCTAAAAAAATCTTGGGATTCTAGACTTTGGAAAATAATTGACGTGCCTACGTGCCTACGTGCCTACGTGCAGGCATATATGTCTATGTGCGTAGGTGTGCATGTATGCGTGTGTGTGTGTGTGTGTTTGTATGTGTGTGTGTGTGTGTGTGTGTGTGTGTGTGAGTGAGCGTGTGTGTGTGTGTGTGTGTGTGTGTGTGTGTGTGTGTGTGAGCGTGTGTGTGTGTATGTGTGTGTATGTATTATGTATGTATGTATGCATGTATGTATGTATGTATATATGTTATGTATGTTATTTATGTATGTTATATATGTATGTTAAGTATGCCTTCATGTATACATGTATGTATGTATGTATGTATGTATGTATGTATGTATGTATGTATGTATGTATGTATGTATGTATGTATGTATGTATGTTAATGTAATATATGTATGAAAATTATGAGTGCATGCATGCATGTTTGTGTTTATGTACACATGTAACTGTACTACTATGTATTACGATAAAATGTTACATGTTTTTGTTTATGGAAAAAAAACAATGAAAAAAATGGTATTGTGATGATAACAGTCTTAGAAAAAGTGCATCTAACTTTTAGAAAGTCTAAAAAAAAATCTTGGGATTCTAGACTTTGGAAAATAATTGATGACAAATGTAAACTCAACACCTTCTATTAAACACAAGATAAGACGAGTGGAAGAACAACTCATTATTTCAGATGCTGAGGAATGGTACGATTATATAGAGAATGGTTGTAATCTAAATGCTAACAAGTTGATAACTTACAGAACTTCTTTCTCAGAGGTTATTCCACATTCATATATAAAGCTCGTTAGACAAAAGAGCAGACGTATAACTACTTTTAAAATTTCGATGTGATTCTCTGCCTCTTTCAGTGGAAACTGACAGATACGCCGTACCTGTGATTCCACTAGAGGAACGCTTGTGTAAGATATGTACAAGGGTAAGTAAGTGTATAGAGGATGAACTACACTTTTCAATTGAATGCAATGTATACAATGATATCAGATCATCCTTATGTAATGTAGCAAATAACATATAAAATATTTATCAAGTCTTAATAAAACAGACAATTATTTATAATGTCTTCCAATGAAATACAGATTCCACTTGTAAACCACATGTATAATGTGTACAGAAGTCGTACCAGTCTATGCGATTCACCATAATTTCCAACAGTGTCCTGTAAGCCATTTTCGGCTGAATACAATTACATTTTCTATTTTATGCATTTGTTAACTATAATACCAGGGGTCATTCAGAAACTTTTTATTTGAAATAATTTTCCATCTCATCTTTTATTTTATTTTCTTTACTTATATTTTTATTTTAATTATAATTAGCAACTAAAAAGTGTAAATTTAGCAGACCTCGCTCATAGGGGGCTCCACAACCCTTGGGAAACTAAATTTCACTCCAAGGTAAAACTAGAAAATTATATCTATATTATTTTTAGGTATTTATTAATTTTATTTATCAATATTGTTGTTATTTTTTTTGAAGACATCATGTTTTAATGCAGTAAATGTAAAAGAAACCTTTTATTTATTATAGAATATAATATGTAAGTACAAAATCCAGAGAGCGTGTTAGGTACATGCTCTCTGGATTTAAACCTGTGATTGTGTGCATAATGTATTTAAAATATTACGTATTATAACTGTGCTTAACAAAATTATCATATTAAGTCTATTTATTTTTACATTAAGATGATTGCTCCCTGCTATTTTTTTGTATGTTTTCATGCTGTCTAACTATATACGTGTACGATTTAATTCGGATATATGACACTATTATATAAACAAAATTGAAAAATGACAGTATAAATATAAGTATAAAATTAACAATTATGAAACAAGTTTTTGCAACTTATTTCTATTTCAAAATACGTTACCACAGTCATTATAATGCATATTCCAACCTTACTTGGCTCTTAACATACGTAAATAAAGAATGTTTCCCCCCATGGGAAACCCCTGGAAAAAACCCAACAATCAGACGGCAGTATTCACGCACGTGATCAGACACGAAGCCATGCTTCCCACTTCATAATTCCTTCAGCCTTCCGTGTTTACGGACGTGTTTTGGTTTCTTCTACGGGGTTCCAACTGCTACTGGCGTTGTTTGTACCGATATATATTGTATCCTTTAATACTATATTACTTTATTTTGTTTTAATTTAGTGTTTGCTTTATTTTGCGCTGTTTTGCGACCAGGCTCCGGCCACGTGTTCGCGTATAACGGTTTGTTTACTTTGAGATGGAGACTCCTCCTTCTCAAAGGCGCTGTCCTGGGGGTCATTTATTTGAGGCTTTCGACCCCCACTCTTACTGTCCTAGCTGTCGGTCTTGCTCTTTGAAGCAGCCGTGTGACATTTGCCGTGCCTGGCAGCCGACTCCTGCCGGTGGTTCTCCCCGCCCGCGAGGGCGTGCAGGTAAGTCGGGTAGGAGGGGTAGGGGTGGGGCGAGGGCTAAGACTAGGCTTAACCCCTTGGAGAACACCAGCGGAATTTCGACAATGGATAGAGCTTCGTCCCTCGCTCAGGTCAACGCTTTATTAAAGCAGAAGGTGAGCAAGGCTCGCAAGCCTTTTTCCTCTCGGCTTTACAGGTCGTGGTTGCTGATATCGCAGATTTAGCTGCAGATACGTACCGCATCCACGACCCAGTATTGGCCCCTAATTCCGTTTCCCTTGAGAGGGATCTGGAGAAGTGGCCGGGACGCTGTGTTGACCAGGTTTTGATGGGGCCTAGGGAGCACTCTAAGTTGGAGCGTCTCCTTAGGCTGGCTCTCCATGTCCTGTCCTACGCAGACTGGTTTACTTCTGCGTTGCTGGCTGCGAGCTGCAAGTCGGTGGAGCAGCTCCCCAGCAAGGCTGGCCTGATGGAGCGCCTCAGCCAGGCAATTTACAAGGCACATCTTGATGTGATGGCCTTACTGTCGGCTGCCATGTCACACCTTGTTGTTGCCCGCCGGTTGTCGGTCCTTTCTGGACTGCCAGTCGGCGATTCCTATCGGGCTACCGTTTTGGAGGATTTGTTTGGCGGGGTCCTTCCCTCAGTGCAATCTGAGATGCGGTTGGACCCGTTTGCATCTGAGGATGCACGCCACAATTCGGCAGCCAATGGCGCTAGCAGGAAGAACAGGCTTCTGGCTCCTCCAGGCGTAGGAGGAAGAGGGCAAAGACGGCTGTTTTTCAGCAGCAGGCTGCCCCTCCGACTTCCGCTTCGGCAGAACGTCGGAAATCGTCCTTCCGCGGTAGGGGTCGAGGCAAAGCCAAATTTTCCAGAGGTAGAAAGGGTTCCTGACTCTTCCTTGCATTGCTAACTCCTTGTCCACTGTC